GGTCCCTCTCCAGGGAAAGGCACAAGGGTGTCAGGGCCCTGCATTAGCACGTCCAGCCCTCACCTCCCAGTGCCCGTTCAGCCCAGCCGCCGCGGCTGCCTGCAACCCGGGTGGGCCAGAGCACCCACGACTTCAAGGCTGGTGGACAGACCCTGCCCCGGGGCCCAGAAGGGGAGCCCAGGGTCCAGGTCCCACAAGCCCAAAGTACCTGCCCCAGCCGGGGCTCTGGTACCCTCTGTTTGCGGCTGTTGCTGGCAAGGTCCCCAGCTGAGTTCTCAGACCCTCTGGTCTCCTTCCAGCTTGTTCATGCCAGTGGTGAACCTGGAGAAGATTTCCAGCCTTCCCAAGCCAGATGGACACGGCATCAAGGTGCCTCCGAAGGCGGCTGCTTCCATCCCCGGGCAGCCGTCTGCCAGCTCCAAAGAGCTCCTGGGGAAGCTGTCGTCGTGCCCACCGACGGCCTGGACAGGAAGCCAGAGAGCACCGCTGCCACGGGGGAAAAGGAGCCGGGCCCCACCAAACTGCCCCCCAAATCCCACAAGAAGATGGCGCGTGAGTCCTGCTGGTCCCGCTTCGCTGCTCGCTGGGGTGGGGCTGAATCAGGCCAAGGTGCCGCTGAGCAGGGCCCTTGGGCGCCCGTGCCGTCGTGCCCACCGACGGCCTGGACAGGAAGCCAGAGAGCACCGCTGCCACGGGGGAAAAGGAGCCGGGCCCCACCAAACTGCCCCCCAAATCCCACAAGAAGATGGCGCGTGAGTCCTGCTGGTCCCGCTTCGCTGCTCGCTGGGGTGGGGCTGAATCAGGCCAAGGTGCCGCTGAGCAGGGCCCTTGGGCGCCCGTGCGATGCAACAGCTGCATGGCTCAGTATTGGGCTGCCAGCCACGGGTGCTTAGCGACTCAATTCAGCCTCTCTCCTTGGGTGGGGGGGGGTCTGTTCTCTGCCCTATGGGGGGAGCAGAGATCCTGGCATCTCCCTTTCTCTCCTGCCACACCCCCCAGCTGAGCCACTCCCTCTTCAGCCCACAGAGCCCTCCTCTGATTGGAGCCCCAGGCAGACTGAGGCCCGCTCAGATCCTCGGACTCCTCTGGTGCCCAGCTAGCCTATGGGGCTGCCCGTTGCGTATTGCGAGAGTGTGCCTGAGACAGCGCCTTAAACCCAGAAATGGGAGTCAGGCCATCAATGTCCTCATCCCACCCTGCCACTGGCCCACTGGGCTGACTTGGTCAAGTCACTTAAATGCGCAGTGCCTTGGTTTCCCCACCTGGACAATGGGAACATCAGTGGCTTCCCCAGGATTGTGAGGCTGAGTGAGTGGTTCCCACGGTGTTCAGGGAATGGGTTGCATGTCTTTCCATCTCCTGCGCTGGCCCAACGCTGCTTCCAGTGTGTTGAAATCCACCCTGGCATCCGTACCCACGGCCGTACGCTCCCAGTCCCCCCTTGCTTTGCACCGACAAATTCTGAGTACGGGGCCTCCCGTCTCCAGGGGAGGCTTTATAAAGCACTGCTGCTGTCGTGCCCACGCTGTGCCCAGCGGCAAAGAGCGTGAAAGCCAGTGATCGCGGCATCCCTGGGAAATAGAGGCAAGCAGCAAGATTTTCCCTTTTGAAATGGCAAGACCCTCCCGTCACAAGCGCTTGCTCCAGCAGCCGACCGTATCGGAGCTGCAGGCCAAGCGCAGGGATCTTAGGAAGTTTGGAGAAGACCCTGAAGAGCAGGGCGAGCGCAGGGGATCCAGCCAAGCCTGGTAACTTCCCTCCGCTGCATCTCAGCTCTGTCTTTCTGCTCTGCAGGGAAGGAGTGTGATTTGAACAGGCAATGTGGAGTTGTGAATCCCGACACCAAAAAGATCTGCACCCGGCTGCTGACCTGCAAGGTGTGTCATTGCTTCCTGGGGGAGCAATCGGAGGCGGGGTGAGTTCTGGGCCCCTACGGCCCGGCTGGAGGGCTCTGCAGGAAGCATTTGCATGGCTATGAAGTGCCACCTCGTGAGGGTCTAGCGCTGCTGGAGGAGAGGGGCAGGCGCTGTAACGCTGGCTGGCTCTCAGAGGCCCCGTGCATGCATGCAGACAGGGAAATGGGAGCCTTGGGCCTCTGCTCCAAACACAGGCCTGTCCCCGGGAGGCCCAGAGGAATCTCCACTGGCTGGAATGGTATGAGGGTCTGTAGCCCCTGGGGCCTTTCGGCACTCGAGGGCGTCCCCATGGGGCTCTGCCTAGCCCGGGCGGTGATGCTCTCCCCCGCCCTTGTCTCAGATTCACTCCGTGCACCAGCGCCGCGAGGTGCAGGGTCGGGCAAAGGACTTTGACGTCTTGGTGGCGGAGCTGAAGGCCAGTTCCCGGAAGGGGGAGTCCCCCAAGGAGAAGAGCCCGGTGAGGAAGGAAGCGCCCCCCGACCGACTCTCCCAGGAGGCCTCCTCTGGGGCGCAGACCTCGTTGGTTCTACCCAGCACGTCCCCTGGCCGAGCAAGGCAGCCCCACTCCCACTGTGCACTTCCCAGGTAACGCAGCAACAGGCGCCCCCGGGTTCCCCGGCGCGTGGCAGTCCCGGCGTAGGAGGGTGCTGCACCAGCGCCTCTGCGGAGCTGGCTCTGCCGTCCCCATGCAGGGATCCTCGCAGAACCAGGCAGCAGCCCCGCCTGCCCTTCCAGCTGTGCCCCTGCTGGCCCCAGAGATGTAGCTCTCACTCCTCCGCCTCTCGTTGTGCTCAGTTCCAGGGTGTCCTCAGAGAGCGACCCAGAGGAGCCGCCCGTATCCTGTGGTGACAGAGACCCAGGGCTCTACCCCTTCCCCGTGCCCAAGGGCAGCAGCCGGGTGTCGAGTGACGAGAGCGAGGACGACGCGGCCGAGGAATCCCACGGGCTGGACTGTCACTATGCAATGCGGCCACCACGGCCTCAGGCGGTGAGCGCTCGGCACAGGGGTGGGCCTGTGGCCCGTGACTCTCAGGAGCAGCGTGTGTCACGTGGAGGCGCTTGGAGCTCAGCGTCCAGCTGGCACTCAGGCAGCGCTCCCATACTTGGGGTGGGGGAGGAGATTGGGGGATGGGGACCAGCTGGCAGACCGCCCCCTCTGCCATGCTACGGGCTGGGCTCCCGGCCCACGGCGGGAGGCTACTCCATGCTTTCAGTGGGTCTCAGCCTCCCTGACGCTCCCCCCTCCTAACTCCCAACCAGTTCTGCACCTTCGGAAGCCGCTTGGTCAGCCCCGGCTGTTACGTGTTCAACCGACGGCTGGACCGGTTCTGCTCGGCCCTCAGCTCCATGCTGGAGAGACACCTCAGCTCGCACATGTGGAAGTGAGTGTCCGGCCAGGGAGGCAGGGCTGGGGTTGGGTGCCGGGGTGTGCGGGAGGAAATCGTTCTCGGCTCAGGCTGGGAGGGAGACTGGCCGAGCGGCACTGCCCCTGCTCTGCATTTCGATGTGGGCAGGGAAGGGGGCGGACAGAGTCGAGTGCTGGGCGGGGGGAGTGCAAGCCGGAGGGGCTGTTGGCAGTTCCCAGTCCAGCCATTCCCCTCCCCAGCCAGCTGTCCGAGGGTGGGGCGACCATCACCCCTCTGCCGGCTGCGGTGCCTGCTTGGCACTCAGTCTGCTGGGAGGGCCATGAGAAAACGCACGGTAGGATCTGCAGCCGTTCACGCGGGAACGCTCGCCCCACATGGCCGAGGGGTGTCGTGACCCCAGGCTGGAAGCAAGGCTGCGGAGGAAGCCCCAGGGGACCCAAGGGAGCGCTAAGGAGGCAGTTTTCTGGAAGGGAGGTCAGCCGACGTGTCAATCACTTCTGTTCCTGTCGGCCTTACTACATTTAGAGGGTGGCTTCTATTTCAGTCAGTACGGTAATGCCTGCTCCTGCCCCTGTCTCCCCCCCACCTTTTGCCTGCAGGACGGCCATTGTAAGCAGGACTCCAAAGAGGGCGAGCGGTGTTCAGAGGTTACAGCAGGGTTCTCTTCTTAGCTCACTCGCCGACTTACTGAGTGACTTGGGCCAGCCCCCTTGCTGCCTCAGTTTCCCCATCTCGTCCCGAGTCTGTCAGGGGCCTGGGGCTGAGCTAGCATTTGGAATGTGCTTTGAGATCTCAGCCCATGGGAGTGTTAAGTGCTGGGTCCTGCCAGGAACCTCAGTAATTCGTGTGAACCTGTGTTGGGTCGGTTCATACCTCCCTGGCCTGTTCTATCCCTGCTCCCCGACACCCTCCCCCACCTGCAGCCACTCTCAGTCCTGCCTGCTCCCAGCAGGTGGGGCTGGAGCACCGGGCTTGACAGGGGCAGT